CACTGACAATACAGGGAAACTCAAAACACCGGTCAGACGACCCAGGACTGTGACAGTATCTGTATTTTTGTGTTCCTTGTATATTTGTTTTTTCTTACAGGTGCGGCAGTAGGCAATACATTGTGAATTTCTATTTGTACTCTATCCTTTTATTATATTTCACCCTATTCCCCCTCCTTTTTCCCCTGTCTGTCCTGTCTTTTACACTGTAATACTATAACACGTAATAAGCAAAAGAACACAAAACACAAAAGGATAAAGAAAAATATGTTCAGCACAACAATGCATTCAGATAATAATTCTGATTGCAAAAGCTGCCAGACAGGACAGGATTCTAAACAATGAAATCCTTCAATGTGCAAATCAAACAAACATGTAGGACTGCCTTTTTCATATTGCTTAAATCAGACACATTCAATCTCAGAGTGACACTGAAAAACTATTTCATGCATTTATAACTTTTAGGCTGGACTATTGTAATTCAAGATGCTCTAAAACTTCCTGAAAAGCATTCAGCTGATCAAGAATGCTGACAGGGACTAGAAGAAGGGACCATATTTCATATATTTCATCTTCACTGGCAAAGCTTGTGGTTAGGGCTGGATGAAGTGTCCCTGAGACCTTTTATTAGTTATGCTGCTGGAGGTTTTCCATGATACACTGAGCATTACCTCTTTTGTCTCTCCTACATCACTATTAGTAATTACTAAAGTGTCTCCAACAGTTTGTCTTTTTCTCTCTTTTCTTCTCCTTACTCCTAACCGGTCATGGCAGATGGCTTCCCCTCCCCTCTGACATCACACAGGCCACACACAGCCCACTTTAATGTTAACTCTCTTTTCTATCGCTATACATGAATATAACTGCACATTTAATCCCAGAGATATCTTAACATAAGAAAAAGAAAAGCAATTACAACAGCATGTTGTTTTTCTACACAATAGAAAATTCTAATTATAGGATTAAGAAGCTGATTAAATGCTCGCGATTTGCTCAAAATGGTCCTGAAGGGAACATACCGGAGAAAGGTCCAGCTCTTCATTATGATGCTACACAGAGTTAAACAATTCCAGATGCTCAACAGAAACTTTTTGTTGAGTTTTTTTGCCTGCAGCAAATATTACAGTTTGCTCAAACTGCTGTGATTAGATGTATTTGTATTGGATTGGATTTCATTTTGTTTTAGTTCTCAAAATTTCCATGTTTATTGCTGTACATTTCATAGACAGTCTTCAATGTGCAGCTGATCTAATGAAGCCCCGAAAGGCTTCAGTCATAAATTATCAGTATAAACAATGTTGTACGTGCAAACAAATTAAAAACCTCTATCAAATCCATCAGTGCTTCTTTATTCCAAAACCTTTAAAGGTGACATTTTCCATTTCGAGGACACAGGTCTGGTAGCAATTAAACGGATAGCTTTCCTCACAATCAAATGCTTTAAAATTCTTTTCTTTAAATCTCTATTGATCCTGCATATCATGCAAATACACACACACGGCAATATCCACCTTGAAGTGGTATAAACAATGTTTTGACCAGACAAGACTACTGCTGAAATAAATCTACTTCAACCACTCCTAAAGAGGATAGTAGGGCTGCCACGATTTGTCGACTAGTCACGATTACGTCGACTATCAAAATCGTCGACGACTGATTTAATAGTCGACGCGTCGTTTGAAGCTTTGTAAGATCACAAAAGACGCAGGAATAAGTGGCAGGATTTAAGAGTGTAATACCGGACTGAAACAGAAGATGGCAGCATTGCATGTACAAGGATGTCAGCTACCGTTAAACCCCGAAGAAGAAGAAGAAGCAGCTGTGTCCCAGAATTCATAGCGCGGCCCAGCGCAGTTTCCAACAATGGCGGCAGCTAGTTAGTTTTAATGTTACTCTTATTATTCTTTCTGGGTCACAAAATAAACGTTTAACATATTTTCAGGCGAGAATGTAGCTGTGTAAACCTCAAATATCTGCTCAGTTTATCAAGACACCACATATTTTCAAAAGCGCTCCGACGTTTTCGGAGACATCTGTTACCCACTAGCTCGATAGCGAGCCGGGGGCTAGGCTCACTAGCACCGTGAGAACACCGGACTCCCCGCAAATCGTTTTCAAACCCACCGCCGTCTTTCGCTACTCAGGTTAAATATATATATGAGTCACTTAGATAACTTAAAATGTTGTTGTTTGGCTTTTTTTTAGTATTTTATTTGTTCCTGAGTAAATCAGTTTGTCTGAGATTAAAGTTATAGTTTTTACACAGCTGAATAAACGTCAAGCAGACAGCTGATTATCAGAAGTGTGAGATGCTCCAGAATTTACTCCAGTGTCCTGTTATATTTTAGATAGCAAGGAGTTTATTAAACTTCACCGAAACAATCTGTAAATTTCATTTAAATTTAATAAACTCTCATCTTTTCTTTATTTTTAGTTAGCACAGACCTTAAACACTTAAAGCTGTAAGCTAATGATAGTTATATAAGAGCAGATGCTGCTGGTGCAATAAGCTGTAGTTTTACGTCCAACGGATGATGATCTGATTAGTCGACTAATCGCAAAAATAATCGGTGACTAGTCGACTATCAAAATAATCGTTTGTGGCAGCCCTAGAGGATAGCAATCATCCCAAAATGGAACTCTGTTATGAATAACAGAATAAAAGACAGAATTTTTCTTTTATTCTGAATAAAAGTATAAAAGACAAATCTCATTGTTGATGCACACATACATGATTTTTTCACTAATATCAGCAAGATTAATGTATTTCAGTAGGTTCAATGTTTTGTGTCAGTAGCATGTCTTCTGTCGAGACTCTTCAGAGAAGATGTATTGACCTGGCAACCAAGAAAAGGAAAAAAGCTTTGGAAAAAAATGGCAACTGCTGTACAAAACTCCACAAAAGGAAGAATGACTCTTCCTTTACAGGGAGTGCAGAATTATTAGGCAAATGAGTATTTTGTCCACATCATCCTCTTCATGCATGTTGTCTTACTCCAAGCTGTAGAGGCTCGAAAGCCTACTACCAATTAAGCATATTAGGTGATGTGCATCTCTGTAATGAGAAGGGGTGTGGTCTAATGACATCAACACCCTATATCAGGTGTGCATAATTATTAGGCAGCGTCCTTTCCTTTGGCAAAATGGGTCAAAAGAAGGACTTGACAGGCTCAGAAAAGTCAAAAATAGTGAGATATCTTGCAGAGGGATGCAGCAGTCTCAAAATTGCAAAGCGTCTGAAGCGTGATCATCGAACAATCAAGCGTTTCATTCAAAATAGTCAACAGGGTCGCAAGAAGCGTGTGGAAAAACCAAGGCGCAAAATAACTGCCCATGAACTGAGAAAGGTCAAGCGTGCAGCTGCCAAGATGCCACTTGCCACCAGTTTGGCCATATTTCAGAGCTGCAACATCACTGGAGTGCCCAAAAGCACAAGGTGTGCAATACTCAGAGACATGGCCAAGGTAAGAAAGGCTGAAAGACGACCACCACTGAACAAGACACACAAGCTGAAACGTCAAGACTGGGCCAAGAAATATCTCAAGACTGGTTTTTCTAAGGTTTTATGGACTGATGAAATGAGAGTGAGTCTTGATGGGCCAGATGGATGGGCCCGTGGCTGGATTGGTAAAGGGCAGAGAGCTCCAGTCCGACTCAGACGCCAGCAAAGTGGAGGTGGAGTACTGGTTTGGGCTGGTATCATCAAAGATGATCTTGTGGGGCCTTTTCGGGTTGAGGATGGAGTCAAGCTCAACTCCCAGTCCTACTGCCAGTTTCTGGAAGACACCTTCTTCAAGCAGTGGTACAGGAAGAAGTCTGCATCCTTCAAGAAAAACATGATTTTCATGCAGGACAATGCTCCATCACACGCGTCCAAGTACTCCACAGCGTGGCTGGCAAGAAAGGGTATAAAAGAAGAAAAACTAATGACATGGCCTCCTTGTTCACCTGATCTGAACCCCATTGAGAACCTGTGGTCCATCATCAAATGTGAGATTTACAAGGAGGGAAAACAGTACACCTCTCTGAACAGTGTCTGGGAGGCTGTGGTTGCTGCTGCACGCAATGTTGATGGTGAACAGATCAAAACACTGACAGAATCCATGGATGGCAGGCTTTTGAGTGTCCTTGCAAAGAAAGGTGGCTATATTGGTCGCTGATTTGTTTTTGTTTTGTTTTTGAATGTCAGAAATGTATATTTGTGAATGTGGAGATGTTATATTGGTTTCACTGGTGAAAATAAATCATTGAAATAGGTATATATTTGTTTTTTGTTAAGTTGCCTAATAATTATGCACAGTAATTGTCACCTGCACACACAGATATCCCCCTAAAATAGCTAAAACTAAAAACAAACTAAAAACTACTTCCACAAACATTCAGCTTTGATATTAATGAGTTTTTTGGGTTCATTGAGAACATGGTTGTTGTTCAATAATAAAATTATTCCTCAAAAATACAACTTGCCTAATAATTCTGCACTCCCTGTATACCACCAACTGGTGGAGGTATAGCATCTACATAAGATAGGAGGAGAACATCCGTTTTTGGAAAACTTGTAACCTGTAAGTACAAACTGAGTATCATTTAATCATCGCCACCTACCTGACTGTTCTTGCTGAAACCTTGATGACCACAGAGTACATGTCTACTTTCTGAAGGATAACACCCCATGTAACAAAGCTCAGACTGATTTTATAATATAAATTTACTAAATGGCCTCCATAATCAGCAGAGCTCAATCCAACAGAAGATCTCTGGGATGTGATGAGAGAATTTCATCATGAAAATGCTGCCTACAAATCTGACACAAATGCATAAATGCATTTTTGGTTTTGTTATTTTTTTTTATGTGGTTTATGACTTCCAGAAGCTTGTCTATCACAGGAGCTATATGTGGGAAACAAATTAATGTTTATTACCAAAGCAAATTAGGGATGTGGCGGTGTGAAGACGTTTCATGGAAAAATGTATAGAAAGATTGAATCAAAGATACTTACTGCTGTTGGATGTGTTGCTGTATGTAATGTGGCCGCACAAACTGCGGGGCTGGCTTGACAGTTAGTTTCATCTGGCCCATGTTGTTAGATGGAGAGGGGCCAGAGCCATAACCATTAGGAGGCACTTGCTGAGGTATTGGCCGCTGGGGTACCACACTGTGTACATTGGTGTTGCCAGAAGTGTGTCCATTAGTATGACCAGTGGTGTGCCCGCTTGTGTGACCAGTGTTGTGCCCGTTGGTGGGTCCGTTCCCAGGCCGCGGTGGAAAGGAGTGTGTGGGTACAGTCTTCTGTTCGCATGCCTTCCCCTCTGAGCCAGGTTTGCAGACACAGTGCTGAGGCCTGAGGCACATTCCTCCATTATGGCACTGAGGGATGCAGTTGGCTAGGACACCACATGAAGTCCAGGGTACAGAGAAAGAGGAAAACAGAAAGACAGATTGAGAATAAGTGATGATAGAAAGATGTCACCCATACAAAAAAGGAACATCAAAGCATATGGATATAACAGACTTGGATTTTCTTCATTTTAAATGTACTTCTATTGTTCAGAGATTCTGTAAAGCATTTAAACGTCTCTGCTCAGTGTTAGTATAGACAGCGGTTACACATGGCAAACGGTTCAGTTAGAGCTGCCTTTTGTCTTAATTATATATTCTCAGAGTTTTTACAGCAATTTATGAATCCAGTTAGAAAAAATAATTCCAGAACCAATGTATTTATTATGCACGCAGCTGCTATAGGAGACCCAAAACATCACCCCTACAGCAGGACTGGTGAACAGGTCATTACATATCTATTCTGACAACGCATTGAGGGGCACAGTTTGACACAGCAGTCCAGGAGTGTACGCTGAAATGTTTTTGTTCCTCTCTTTTAGTCTCTTTATAATTAAGCAAATGTATCCTTGCTTGCTTGCTTGCAAATGTATCCCCCCAAATTATTTTTATTTGACCCATTATTTCTTTATTTAGCCTATGCTTTGCCTTAAGATGGACTCTCAGTTCATAAACTGTCTGAAACAAGTCATCTTATGACTCTTACCCTGTCATGAAGCATGGGCCTGAGAAACACAGGACAGTTAACTCAAAATGCACCTTTTAATAAAGTTGTGGAAACAGTCCAAGAAGTACAAAACCCACAAGGCAAAGGAACCCAGGCTTTACCGGGAACTCGTACGCGCAGATGCTGAGACAAACACTGAGGAGAAAACACCTCTATACACTCAGGCAGGTATGGGAAGTGGAAGGGAACACAGCTGGGTAACAAAACACGGGTGATAATAATAAGACAAAGAAAAAAAATGTGAGAAACAGCATTTGGCCTAAACTGTTGCTAACAGGGATTATTTTGACTACATAAATGTCCTGCACATATAATGTGCTTTTCAGTATCCCAAGTGAAATACACATCACATGCACATTTGGTTTGTATTAGCAATTTTCTGTGATACCAACGAATTTGACCCATGAACATGCTTAAAAAGTAATTTGAAACAAATTAATTTAAAAGTGGATTTTTTTTGTATTTCCTCTTTCTAACTGAGAAACCATTATTCCAAAAACAAGGTACTAGGGGTGCAACGATACTTGTATCGATATTGAACCGTTCGATACAGTGCTTTCGGTTCGGTAGGCATATGTATCGAACAATACAACATTTGTAATTTATTTTATCAACTTTCCTTCTGACGATGCTGTCTGTGTTGAGCGCTCAGTGAATCTGCGTTCGATTACTCCGCCTAGGCTGCACTGTCGAGCGCAGATCCACTGAGCGCTCAACACAGGCTGTATCCCAATTCAGGGTCTGCAGCCTTAAAGGCCGCATTTCAAGACCGATTACGTCACAGCGGCGCGCCGAAGGCTGTCCCAATTCAAAGGCTGCTCGAAATGCGGCCCTGAACTGCGTCCTTCATTTCCCTGAATTTTAAGGCTGTGGCAGTGTAGACTTCGTGGCCCAACATATCCCAGAATGCATAGCGCAGCGGTGCGTGTGGATAAATTTGCCGGAAAAAAAAAAACGGCGGATGAGGGGCGCCCGAAGAGTAAACTTTAAGTAAGTACTGAATATTATGTCACTTATTTATGTGCAAATGTTTAATAACGAAGAACATTAAAACATTACTGTTGGCCACATGTCGGCAAAGTTATGTGACATTAGTGACGTTTGTACTAACTTGGTTTTAAAGCCTTTACTTTAAAATATACGCCGTTCAATAGCTGAGCTTAATCCTACAGAGAATGATCAAAGCTCATGTAGAAAGAAACAAACAAATGAACAAAAGATTTTCTCCTTCATTTCTGTCAAACAAAGCTGTACGACACGTTTCCAGCTGTTAGTATCATGGTTGCTAGGCAACCTGGGCAGCGCAACGGAGGCTAGACCGTCCCATTTCACAAGCCTCGCACTTCCGGCCTTAGCGGTCTTTAAGTATGCGGCCCTTGAGGATCGTTGAGGCTGCGTACTTTAAGGCTGCAGAATCTGAATTGGGATACAGCCACAGACAGCATCGTCAGAAGGAAGAGCGAAGGGCAAGCTAGCGAGACAGAAGTTAAGCTCTCCTTGCAACATGGCAAATTGAACCTCCCCCACCCTCATTCAGATCTGGCGTTTGGAATTATTTTGGTTTTCATGTGAAGTATGACCCTGAAGGTAAGCGCGTCATGGACTAAAGTAAAACAGTATGTTGGATGTGCCACGCAATGCTCAATTACATTGGTGTGAACTAGTGTGTTAGCGCAGTTAGCTCGTTAACGTGTTGGCCGTCTAGCCCCACGCACAGGCGATCAGGGGTAGCTCGTTAACGGAGATTTGCCGTGTTGTGGCGTTAACGTCATTTCAACGAGATTAATGCTGACAGCACTAGTGGGAACACAACGAATATGACTGCAAATTTACGCCGACATCATCCTAGTGCAAAGACAAGTGGAAGCAGACAAAACAACAAGCATGCATGCTACAAACTTTACCCGAGTCATTTAGACAGCCATTAGCACATGATTCTTCTTATGGGGACCTGATATGTTTAATATTGTGGCGAGCTCAGACAAGGAGGAGACGGAGGTATCGTTTGGTCTTGCTTCCCGTGAGCTAGCCAGGGAGCACAGCCGTTTATTGACATCTGCAGAAGAACACTGCTGCTAGCTAACTGCTCAGCCCGGCAACCGCACAGCAACAACAACAACAACAACACACAGGGCGCCCTCTGACCCCGGAAGGACACACCGTCGCAGCGAGAGGGCGTCACCCGTCACTATGGCAACATAAACAAAACATAACTGTACAAACAGAACCCCGAACAGCCCTGGCCCGCTACAATATGCTGCTGAGAATATAGCCCAGAAGAAGCGGATAGTATAGCTTTTATTTTGGAAAGAGCCATTTCTCTGTAATAAACTCTCTTTTCCAAAGATGAGTGATTCCTCAATCAGATACAGGGCTCGCAAAATCGCCTGCCTGACGTCCCAGGGCTAGCGATTTTTTCAGTCGGGCTACCAAAATCTATCTCTGCCCTGCCCGTCGGGCTATTGTAGGAAGGAAAAATATATGTCAATGCTTTTGCATTCTTTCGGAAATGTAGCTGGGTAATTATGTCATTGGCGGTGAGCCACTGTCAATATGTGACATATTGAAATCGCGTTTGAATTTGCGCTTGTTTTTTGCTTTCACTTTGCAATCGTGCGAACTGTGTATAGAGAGCGACAGCACTGATTGGTGAGTGACGATCATTTGCGCACCAATTCCTCTGACATCGTCTTATTAATCGTTAGCTTACTATGCAAACATGACAAGTGAAATCTCCCGCAGCTTAAACATGTGAGAGGTTGATCGCGCAGAGAATCGCTGACCGTTATGTGTGCGTGTGTAAAAGCAGCAGGATATATATTTTAGTTCTGCTGAGCCAAATAAGACAGGTCAGGGTGAAGAAGTGACAGCCAAAGAAAAGCTTACCACAAAACAGAAAAGTTATGACAAATCAGACTATAAGGCAAAAAGAAAGTGCAGCGTTATGGTTTCATGAACAAAATAATTTCTGTGGCTGCAATATGACGAGCTATATAACCAGGGCTGCACATAAGTGGTCCGCAGGTGCGCATTCGCTGTCAAAAAAAAAAAAAAAAAACGCGCACAAGATATGAAGTTGCAACGCGTGTTTGCATACATAGGATTTTCTGGAGGAGGACAGACATTTGTTTAGAACTCTTAAAGATGTCGAAGAAGCTCCTTTAAGCAATTACTTTGGTGTTCCTCCACCTCCAAAGAAATGTCAGCAGGCTGAACCACAAAAGAAGCACGTATTCTCGGAAAAGTAGTTGCAGGAGGTGAGCTGGCTTCAAACAAATGATGAACGCACAGAGATGTGGTGCAGAATGTGCCGTGAAAATCCCACTCTAGCGGACAAAAACACTGCTTTTTATATGGACGCAAACGCGCGCTGCAACTTCTTATCTGGTGCTCGTCTTTTATTTTGACAGCGAATGCGCACATGCGGACCACTTATGTGCACCCGTGTAAATAACATAATGTTCTGCCGGGTGTGTTGTTGGTTTTCCCTCGATTTCTGAGTCGACAAGCGCCTTTGTTACTGGGACCAGTCATATTAAGAAAGGCCCACATTAGAACGCATGAGAAATGCAAGAAATGCATTATTGCTCAGTCTGCAATATCTTTCCCAGAACAAACACCAATTGCAAATAACATACTAAAAATAAACCCGAAAAATCTGTTTAGAACAGCTACTATGTTGCAAAGAGTGAACTACCACTGGCACAATTTAGCAGTCTTTGCAAACTTCAAAAAGCAAATGGCCTCGATCTTGGTTCCACTTGCCTCTTACCCGTAACTTCAGTGGAAATTTCAAATTCAGGATCTGACACAGACTGATTCATGTCCTACACAGTTCTTACAAGTTCATAGACATTTCTGTTCAATTAGAACCAAGTATTTGAGTTGATGATTGTAATTTTTATACAATGTTGTAATTTGTTTTTCAACAATTTTTTGATTAATGTTTTGTTTCCTTTACAATACTTTAATGTATAATATTGTAAAGGAAACAAAACATTAATCAAAAAATTGCTCCCTTTTTTATTCGGGCTACTTAAATTTATTTTGGGCTACCAAAAACGGAAGAGTCCCTGCCCGAAGGGCTACCAGGGATTTTGAAATTTTGAGAGCCCTGAGATTTTTATTTTTTTTTTAATTACTTTTGTTTCAGCAACATTAAATTTAAAAACTGTACTTTTGAGTTAAAATATATATTTATAATTTTAATAAATGACAAATTAAAAAGGCATGAACATTTTTTTTGTATCGAAAAAATATCGAACCGTGATACCAAAGTATCGAACCGAACCGTGAATTTTGTGTATCGTTGCACCCCTA